CTCCGGGATACAGCACAGCACAGATGTAATCTGGTTCCAGGGCAGGCCTAGGATGCCTCAGCCCCCCTTGAGATGGGGGAGACTGGACCCCTAAATTCCAGCCCCTTTCCCTAGGCTGTCTCCTCCATGCTCCCAGACAGAAACTAACTCCCTCACTTCCAGCCCTGCCCCCAGCCAGGGCTCAACTCCCCTTCTTCCCATTGTTCTGCTCCCTGGGAGATACCTGTCTGACGATGTTCGTAGCCCCCTTGCATAATGACTCATCCCTTGCCCTGCTGGGCCATGCTGCAGCCAGCAGGTCACCCACAGCCCACTACCCAGCACAGCAACCAGCAAGGTACCCCCACTACGTCACACCCTTGCCCATGGAATTCGCTCTAGGGGGCAGAACCACGCTCCTATGATTCTATTTTAAAAGCTACCGGGGGACGATTTTAAGAGACTACCGTACTGCGGCCTTCAAGCCTCCATTTGGTCCAGATGCTAGCGTGGACCTTCTTGAGAAGTGGTAGGGACCCCGGCCATAAAATGGAGGGTCTTTTCTTTAGTGTGCAGGTGGGGCAGAGAGCTTTGGAGCGACTCCGTGTCCAGCCTGTCGCTCGGAGGGCAGGTCTTGTCTGGGGCAGGGCAGAAGCTGTGGAGAATGACCCTGCAGAGGATGGGAGTAAAAACATGAACCCGATGCCACCTGAGCCAGACCTGTCTACCTGAGTCTGCTGCCAGCCTGGAGCCACTGCTCTGAGGGGCACGAACGCTCCTCTCTTCACCCCTAGGGGCTGCCGAGCCTGAAACCGAACAGTGGCCATTCAAACTGCTGGCCGTTTTAACACAACCAGTTAGTTATCCCATAATCCCTGGCTGCTTCCCATCCCTCTCTTAGTACCAAAAGCCCCGCGTTCCCCCTGTCTAGCATCCAATCCCCTCGTCCCTCCACCCCTGAAAGCTTCTGCACCGTGGTTAGGCACTGTCAGCACAAAATACGTGAATTCGGGATCAGGCGCGTTGGGCTGAGTGTGCCATTGATCTTCACAACCAGTTAGTTATCCCATAATCCCTGGCTGCTTCCCATCCCTCTCTTAGTACCAAAAGCCCCGCGTTCCCCCTGTCTAGCATCCAATCCCCTCGTCCCTCCACCCCTGAAAGCTTCTGCACCGTGGTTAGGCACTGTCAGCACAAAATACGTGAATTCGGGATCAGGCGCGTTGGGCTGAGTGTGCCATTGATCTTCAGGGCTGATTACTGAGGAGGTTCCCTGCTGTCATGTACCCACGGCTGCGGCAGCATTTCCACCCGGGACTGCAGAACCTACATCGGTGCTAACGTGCCAATGAGCGCACAGGGCCCCGGGCAGCGAGGACACTGCGATGTCCCCAGCCGGACCTTCTAACCAGGCCAGCAGCTGTGCTTCGCTTTCTCGGCGAAGGCTCCAAACAGCACGGCCGCCTGCACGGGCCAGTCGCCTCGCCGCGCTGGCTACGCGAGCCCGTGGAGAGGCCATCGCTGCGTCAGGGCCCTGTCCCCGCCGGTTCAGGCGGAACGTATGCAGGGAAGGGACAGGCTCTCTGCACTGTGTGCGGCGCGCTTTGGTAACCATTGTGCCGGGGCAGCGTTTTGCATTGGGGAAGAGCCTGCGCGCGATCCAGGGCTCTAGAAAACCTGGCCTGCGGGCTCCTGAAATGCCACTGCCGCCACCGGAGCATGCCCAGGGAGCGGGTTTCAAACGGGTTTTCTCACGACCCAGTTGAAGAAAACGGTTGGTGCCTGTGACCGAACATAATGTGACTAGAGTGGGGGCTCTGGGGTGGGGCTGATGGGAGCTTTGGGCTGCAGGAGGGGGCTCCAGTTTTAGAGGAGACCAGGGCTGGGGCGGGAGGGGCTGACCGTGAGCGGCTCCTGGTCAGAGGTGCAGCGGGGCGGCTAAGGCAGCTTCCTGCCTCTCCTGGCCCTGCAGACCAGGCTGCCCCCAGCAGCAGGTTCCCAGCCAGTGGGAGTGCAGAACTAGTGCTCGGGGCAGGGGCAGTGTGGGGAGCCCTGTGCGCTCTCCCTTCCCCTCTGCTCCCCCCCGACACACACACCTAGGAGCCGGGCCTGCTGCCGCCTGCTTCTGGGGCACAGCGCAGTCTGCGGTGCTAGGACAGGCAGGGAACCTGCCTTAGCCCCCTCACTGGTCACCTGATCCCCCTGTAGCAAGGATCCCCAGTGCCCGACATTCCATGACCCAGCGCTGGGTTGCAACCCCTAGTTTGAAAACCACTGGCCTAGGAAGTGGACTGACCCTCAGCAGGAGATCTGGAAGCACTTTACAATGGAGGAGAGGGAAGTGAGTGTAAAACTGGACACCACACACAGATAGATGAAGTGACTTGCCCAAGGTCGTCCAACCGGTCAGTGGCAGAGCTGGGAATGGAAGCCAGGTTCCCGGCCCAGTGCTGTAGCCACTAAGCAGCCTGGGTTTGTTCCCAGTACAGATGCTGCCAAGGACAGTGAGTAGCACCTAACGAATGGCAGACAGCCTGGCCGCTTGCCCCGAATGGGCAGCACATGGGAAGCCACACAGCAAATGAGCAGTGACCAGACCCTCTTGCTTCCTGGGTCAGTTGCCAGACGGCGCGGGAGGCCGGGCCACACGTCAGTCGGTGCTCACGATCGTTCCGTTTCCGCCGTGGCAGGCCACGAAAGTAGCCCAGCTTGTGCACGGCAGGCCATTTCCTCTAGCCCGGGAGGAGAGCCTCATTAAAAAGTGGTCCCGCTGCCTGATCGCCACAGTGCAACATTCAATCTGCATCGCTCAGCCAGATCACGCTGGGTTCTTGCCGTGGGCGGGCGGGAGAAGTGGAGTAAGCCTTTTGCTGACGTTGGCACCGTTGTTTCAAGAGTCCCTGTAAACCCAGGTGACGCTGGAGCCGCACCAAGCGTCAGGTGTGTCAGGCAGAAAGCCCAGCACTTGGTGTCAGCCACAGGAGGGCTCCATTCAGGTACCTGGAAGCACCCGGCACAGCTGAGTCCGGGGCAGCCCGATCTCAAGCCAGAATCCGTAGTCGCAAGACAGGAATCGAGCGTCAGCTGGGTTGGACACCAACAAGGGATACCTTACAAGGAAAACGGGAAAGCTCATCACCTAATAAACCATCTTGTTAGTGTTTAAAGTGCTACATAGTCCTGTATTTTGTTTCAGTTACAAGGAAAACGTGTGTCACAATAGTGTATAGGGTGTAAATACAGGAGTGTCTCCCATCACACCCCTACTCCCTTGCAAGGCTGTCGTAGGGTTAGCCACTGGCTTACCTAGCGGGTCAGGCTCTCATTCCTGGACAGGGCATCTTGTTTTCTTTTCCCTCTGTATGCACAGTCTCCATATCAGATTCTCATTGTATACAGCTCCAGTGCAGACGCTTGGCATTTGAGCCTTCAGCTTTGGTTACCCGGATCTCTGGACGCGTAGGACCCATTAATACCTGGAACGTTCGGTTAAAAGTTAGAGCGTTACGAGTTTGGCTGCTCAGTGGCACACCATTCTTTCTCCGACAGACCGACTCTGTTCCGAGGGTGTCCGTTTCTTGTGTATGAAAGCAACGGGGTGCTCCCTGGTGTTTTCACCTGTTGGCCCCTGTGCAGCCCCTCCGGCAGGGTCTGATGCTTGTACTCATCGACATCTGCATGGCTAGAACAGGTTTTCAGGCAAGATTTGCTTTGCCTGAGTGAAACATCCTTGACTTGTTTTGATCAGGCAGGCCATTCCTCTTCGATGGGCACAGTCTTTTTACGCAGCTCTGTGATTGTACCTGCAATCTCACTGACCCCACATGTGATCGGTGACCTGACTTAGGAAAGATTGGACTGGTTTTTCTGGACTGGGATACAGGCCAGTTTACAGCAGCTTTAAAGGGTCATGGAATTTTTTGGTGATCAGCCCTAGTGTTGCTAAACACCATGATGTCATCCACCCAGGCCCATGCAAACCATTTCACGCTTAGTTGGCCAGCCTCTGAAAGGTGGCTCCTGCCTTAATTAACCCCAAAGGTAACACTGTGAGCTCAGAATCCCATGAGGATGAAAGCAGCTTTCTTCCGTGCATCCTCATGGAAAGGAATCTGCCAATAACCTCTATCCAATTCAAAGCACTAAGACATTTAGCTCTGCTTGAGATATCCAGCATATCAACTATTCTAGGCACAGGTTAAGCATCTGGGACTGCGACAGCACGGAGTTTTCTATAATCAACACACAACCTTCCCCTGTTGTCTGTCTTAGGGACTAAGCCCACACGTGACGCCAAGAGCTTTCAGACTCGTTCATTATTCCCAAGTCTAATATGCTTTGGATTTCTGTACAAATTTGCCCCTACACCTTGCCAACAGGAGGTGGGTGTGTCTTTCTGTAATGATTTTATGAGTTAGATATCTCTGCCCTTTCAATTGGCATTAATTCACTAGAGATCAATGCTTTCCAGTCATGAATCACTCTGGCAATGGGTGCGCCTCAGTTTCCCCTTCTACCATGTTTACCATGGCTTCCCTGCTGTGATAGGCATTGTCTGTTTATATGTGCATAACCATGCGGCCTCCATCACCTCAAAGGTCCTTCCGAAGAATTTTACACGTATTTTTTCACATACCTCCCTCTCTCAAAAGAGCATTTACAAGTACGTTTCTCACACTGCGCTTTTTGTCGGACCAACTCGCTTTGAGGTTAGTTTGAGCAATTCCCCATCATATCTTTTTAGCTCTCTTGAACCTTGTATGTCTTCAGTTATCTGCCTCAGTGTCCCCTTCCCAGGAGTCCCTGATGAGATCTAGGGGCTCCTCGCTTCCTTTCCATAGGCGATAGGAGGGGGAGAACCAGGTTGATTCTTGGGGTAGCTCCCAGTAAGCGAACAGAAAATATGGCAGCAACTCATCCCAGTCTTGAAGTCTCTTATTTGCATATTTTCCCAGCATAGAGTTTGGGGTCCCACTGAATCTTTCCACCAAACCATGTCTCTGGGTGCCGTGGGGTAGCATTTCGTCGTTTCACCCCATGCAACTTCCACAGCTCACTGAACAGCTGAGACGTGAAATCTGACCCACAGCCAGATAAATTCTCTGCTAACACTAGTGGGAGGGGCTCTTGCCACTGAGTCTGCCTCAGTGTTACCTTGAAGCAGTAGCTCTATTTAGTGGCAAAATCCACCACTACCCGGTTACATTTCTTCCCCCTCTGGCTGGAACATGGCATTGAATCTACAGTGTGCACTGTTAGTCTCTGAAATGCCTCTTGTATCACATACAAGGGACGCAGAGGAACTTTGGGGGTGCCGGGGGAGGGGGGGGTAAAGGGGAATCTGTAACCGCCCCCCAGCCCCGAAATTTGAATCCTTGAATTTCACACTTGAGGTCTGCTTACCTAGCTCCAGAGGCTGCTCTTACCTGCAACAGAACTTGTGCTGCTTCCTGCTTTACCTTTGGGGCAGAGAGTTTGTTTATACACAGAGGGAGGCAGGATGATTAAGATAACAAAAGGCTTATCATTCCTGTAACTGAAGGGTCATTAGATGATCTTGAAAACATTGCTAGGTACTCCACTTAAAAGATAGGCAGCAAAGGGTAGGAATAAAGTAGTGATGCGCTCCAGAAGTCTGTACTGAGACCAATGCTGAAACGATCTTGAAAAAGGGCTGACCAGTAAGGTGGCAAAATTTGCAGAGGATACAAAATTACTCAAATTAGTTACCGTATATACTCGAGTATAAGTCGACCCGAATATAAGCCGAGGCACCTAATTTTACCCCAAAAAACTGGGAAAAAGTATTGACCCGAGTATAAGCCTAGGGTAGGAAATAAGGCAGCCTAGGGTAGGAAATGAGTCGGGGCGAAAGCTGCTCCGGTGCCCCCGGTCTGCTGGAGACCGTCTCCAGCAGACCAGGGGCACCGGGCGGGTTCCCGCGCTTCTGAGGCTTTGCCAGAGCAAAGCCTCAGAGGCGCGGGGAACCTCCGCTGCTGCCGCTTCAATCTGGGTGCCTGTGGTCTGCTGGGGACCGTCCCTCAGAGATACACCTAGTTTGGCTAGACAGTTGGATAGCGGAATTCTATTCAACCATCAGGGGCTTGAAATGCTGCATGTGGCAAGAGCTGGGAGACTTGGATGCTTCTCACAGCAGTTCTAATGAGAGGGAAGGAGGGGGCTTTCACTAGGGTCAGTGACTCCATCCCTGACAGATGTTTGCCTAATCTGTTCTTGAAAACCTTCAATTTTATCAATACCCGTCCTGCATAAAGCAAGTGGTTTACAAGGCTGTGTTCATGTTTGGCCATAAGTAGACAGAGTTAATAAAGTCTCTTGCTGAAAACAGCAGATATAGCCGTCACTAAACCCATACACATTAAGAACGAGAATTCTGGTTCTTCAGCTCACATAGGTCTCTATGGGTGTGTCTAAACTACATGGCTCCATCGATGGAGCCATGTAGATGAGGCTGATCGGCAAAGGGAAATGAAGCCACGATTTAAATAATCGCGGCTTCATTTAAATTTAAATGGCTGCCGCCCTGAGCCGACAAACAGCTGATCAGCTGGACAAACAGCTAAATTCTGGTGACACCCTTTCGTGCAGTATGCCTCAGAGTGCAACCCCCGCCCTTACAACCTGAAAACACTTTTTATATATTAAACACCATGGCTGCGTCTAGACTGGCATGATTTTCCGGAAATGCTTTTAACAGAAAAGTTTTCCATTAAAAGCATTTTCAGAACAGAGCGTCTAGATTGGCACGGACGCTTTTCCGCAAAAGCACTTTTTGCGAAAAAGCATCCGTGACAATCTAGACGTGCTTTGCCGCAAAAAAGCCCTGATCGCCATTTTCGCGATCGGGGCTTTTCTGCGGAAAATAAACCTGAGCTGTCTATACTGGCCCTTTTGCGCAAAAGTTTTGCGCAAAAGGACTTTTGCCCAAATGGGAGCAGCATAGTTTTCCGCAAGAACACTGACAATCTTACATGAAATCGTCAGTGCTTTTCTGGAAAAGCAAGCGGCCAGTGTAGACAGCTGGCACGTTTTTCTGGAAAAACGGCTGATTTTCCGGAAAAACTGGCCAGTCTAGACGCAGCCCATTAGAAATCCTGGAGGCAAAGCAGGTTTGGGCAGGAGGCTGACTGCTCAGGATCCTCCATTTAGTAACCACCCAACCCCAGTAGGGTCCCAATCCCCAGTTTGAGACCTCCCAAACTAGTCTGACCTCCTGCTTCACACAGGCTAGAAAATCTCACCCAGATGACTTCCGTTTGGGCAATAGCAGTGGTTTTCCACCCGTGAGCCACCGACCTCTGGGGTCTGCAGTGTGCATCTAAGGGGTCTACAAAAGGTGACCAAAAAAGAACGTTTCTGATCCCAGAAAAGACATCCCGTTTTTCTGGTCAATCAAAAGTATGAGACTAACCCCGCCTACAGGTCAAAACCCAGAAGTGCTGTCGTTCCCATCAAAGCCCACAGTTGCCCTTTCTCACACTTCTATTTTGTTCTGTCATTTTTCAGTCTAAGGTTTCCAGGGTGTGTGTATATGTGTGCGGGCTCCAGGTGGAAATCCCAAAGGGTGTCCACACCTCTTAGAAAGCTGCAAATGAAAAACACCACCACCACGGGGTGACAGCATATCTTTTGGAAAGATATCCCAACTTTAATGCCAAGGGCTGTGTCTAGACTGGCAAGTTTTTCCGCAAAATCATCTGCTTTTGCGAAAAAACTTGCCAGCTGTCTACACTGGCCACTTGAATTTCCGGAAAAGCACTGCCGATCTCATGTAAGATTGTCAGTGCTTTTCCGGAAATACTATGCTGCTCCTGTTCAGGCAAAAGTCTTTTTCCGAAAGACTTTTGCGCAAAAGGGCCAGTGTAGACAGCACAGGACTGTTTTCCGCAAAAAAGCCCCGATGGCAAAAATGGCGATCGGGGCTTTTTTGCAGAAAACCGTGTCTAGATTGGCCACGGACGCTTTTCCACAAAAAGTGCTTTTGCGGAAAAGCATCCTGCCAATCTAGACGTGCTTTTCCAAAAATACTTTTAACGGAAAAGTTTTCCGTTAAAAGCATTTTTGGAAATTCATGCCAGTGTAGACGTAGCCTTAGGGCTTAAGGTCAGAAGGGACCATCATGATCCCCAAGTCTGTCCTCCTGCATGTTGTAGGTCAGGGAACCTCACCCACCTGCTCTTTTAATAGACTCTGAACCTCTGGATGAGTTACAGGACTTCAAAAGCTAGGCTGGCTCCACCAAGTCCTCAGTTAGTAGTTCCAGTTGCCCGCAGTTTAAAACGTGAGCCTGATTTCTGGTCTAGTGATGGAGATGCAGCCGTGTTAGTCCGGCCTAGCTGAAATAAAAGACAGAACTATGCAGTACTTTAAAGACTAACAAGATGGTTTATTAGGTGATGAGCTTTCATGGGCCAGACCCACTTCCTCAGATCAATTTTCTTCCACAAATTGATCTGAGGAAGTGGGTCTGGCCCACGAAAGCTCATCACCTTTTAAACCATCTTGTTAATCTTTAAAGTGCTACGTAGTCGTGTCTTTTGTGATGTAACTGACATCACTGAAATCTGGTGGGACTGTTTGCATGATAGGTATGTTCAGAAGACTGAACAACCTGTTTGGAAAGTAAAAGAGGTGGGTGGACCATGACGGAAAAGCCCCTACTCCCTGTGTGTGGAGTTGCTAATTACTCAGGACCACAGGGTCATGTGTACTTAAGGACAAATGTGCTCCCTAATAAAGTCCAGGAGGGGATACTGCTGTGAATGGCTTCGGGAGACTGACACTGGAACTGAGAATCTTAAAGAGCTCGACTTGGGTATGCCCTGTGTTCTAGAGTAGCGTTTCTCAACCAGTGGTATGTCCCCCCTTGGTGTACGTCTGGGGGGGTACGTCAACACAACTGAAATATGGAGAAACCTGAATTTGTTTTTTAAATTTTACAGCATTTTTTACACCCCAAATTTTCATCGCCTGCTCGGCTACGATTGTGTTGTTTAAACAAATATTTTGCAACAGCAGAAAAAAAATGTTGTGTGTCTGAAAACTGTAGGTACTGGGGGTACTTATAATTTTTTTTTGGAAAAAGGGGTACTTTATAAAAAAAAAGATTGTGTTGTTTAAACAAATATTTTGCAACAGTAGAAAAAAATGTTTGTGTGTCTGAAAACTGTAGGTACTGGGGGTACTTATAATTTTTTTTTGGAAAAAGGGGTACTTTATAAAAAAAAGACGAGAAACACTGTTATAGAGGAGATCAATCTGAATCATAGACAGATCTTTCTGGAGATATTGGCTGTAATTTGCAATGCTTAAACAGTTGCAATTCTCTCTGGTTCCTTTTGCTCAGGCTAGAAGTCCCAGAGGGGTTGCTGTCTTAGTCTGTAACTTAAAAATAACTTTA